GCATTTCCTCTTTGGAGAAGTGTCTTTTTAGCTCTTCTGCCCATTTTTTGATGCGGTTGTTTATTTTTGTTGAGTGTCATCAGTTCTCTGTATATGTTTATGATCAATCCTTTTCGCTAGTTTTGTGTGAGAAAATTTTTTCCCAATCAGTGGGATGTCTGTCTGTTTTTGTAATGTCTCTTTTGCTGTACAGAAGCTCTTTAACTTGATGTATTCCCATCTATTTATCCTTCTTTCTTTTTAAAAAGATTTATTTACTTATTCATACAGAAATGGGGCACAGGCCAAAGGTACACAGGCAGTGAGAGAGTCACCAGAGACAGAGTAGGGAGCAGAACAGGCAGATAGATGAGGTACACTGCTGAGGGGAGCAGCAGGCAGGTCAGGAAAGGTTTGCCACGTCATGTGGGTTACCTCTGGGGCCAGGGATTGAAATTGCACTGACGTGGCTGCAGCCAGTCTCACAGTGCTGCGCTTTAACCCACTGCACCACCAGGAAGGACCCAAGGTGTGCTTTTTTCTAAGTGAATTTTCTAAAATAAGTTTTATTATCAATCTTTGTTGACAAAATGGTTGGCAGAGCATCGACTGTTTATTCTTGGTAGAAAGCAGCATCCTTTTCCCTAATGCGAGCCTCAGGTCTGGCCTGTGTTTGCATGTCTTGTTGACCTTTAGCTGGAAAACTGTTTTCCCCTGGACCAGACCCATCAGCTTCCCAAGATGACTGGCCATTTTAAGACAGGACCCAGCTCATCTCAAAGGCACAGTCATGTTTTTCAATAGAGTTGAATGAGTCCTACTTTTCACTCTTGTTGGCGACTAAGTAGTGTGTTGAAAGGAAAGCAGGTCCCAGACTGAATTCTGTCAACCCCTGACACTATGAGGCAGAGGGCTCAATAGTAGGCCTGTAGCCAGCAATGTCAGCACAAGGAGGTTGGTCCCAGTTTTCCTTCCCTGGGGCAAGTGGATAAACACCAGCAGCCAAGGTTGATTTGGGCAGGTCAGCCTCTCCTGATCAGACCAATGGGCAACGATGTTGGAACCTTCTGGGGAAGTTGTAAATGATGCTTCTTGATCTGGGTGGTAGTTATATTAGTAATCGCATATGTCAAATATCATAGAACCATTTGTGTGCTTAAGATTTATTCATTTGTCTGTATGTATGTTATGCCTCAGTAAGAAATTGGGGGAGGGGAAATAAATCATTGTCCCTAAGTGTTCACAATTTGTGAACAGGGACACTATGATATTTTGTTTAAGTCAATGAACCCCTTGACCAGAGGGTCAAAGCTTATATGTGTGTTTTATGTGTACCCCCTCATCATTTCATGCGTTCTTGAAGCAGGGCCCTGACCTCTGGCCATTTTCTATCCCCCTTATGGAATTATCTTTGCCATTCCCTTAGGTCAGCACTGTGAAATCAGCTAGCTTAGAAGAGAGCAGGGGTTTGTGCAACTCCCCTTCGTTAAGGACCTAGGGACTTCTGTCAAAATCTTTCTTCTGGTGACTCTGAGCCAGTCCTGTGGGTCCCTTAGGTTGACATAGCAAGCGCAACCACCTTGCTTCAGCAGTAGCTGTACGTCTGCCTTCTTTCTTTGTTCTGCCCTGTTTTAAGCATATTCTTTCTCAGAATTGGACTTATGCCCATAAACTGCTCTCAGTAATTTTCGCTGAGGCTAGGCTAGAAGACGTTTCAGGGAATGAAACAGATATTTTCCTAGGCTATCACCTAGACTTGGGGATGTATTGAAGCAGGGCTGTGGGCTCCCACCCTTTCCTTTCCCCAAAAGAAAGAGAGGTAGCACTTGGGGTTCCTGGGGGTGGTATTCACAGAGGCCTGGCCTCAATAACTTACAAGAGGATGGGCTTTGGCCTGGTCAGTGCTCTAGTTCCAGAAGCTGATAATTGTTGCTTCTAAAGGGAAATTTAACAGGATTGAGAGATCAAGGTGACCTTTCTAGTCAGTGGCCTGTAGGACAGACTGATGGTGTTTCTGATCTGGCAGTTTCAGAATTCTGGTGACTTTTCCTTTTTCCTCTCTCTTCATCTTCACATGTCATCCACTACCACACCTTACCCTTTTCATTGTTAGATCTCAGCCTTAAAAACATACTTGCACACATAAACAGAAACCCTTTGTTGGTGTTCCTAATCTGCCAAGGAGTCAGTTGTCATAGCAACGGCTGCCACACACACGTTTTATCATTTGAGGTTCCCATCAGGTTTTCCTCGCATCAAGCAGCCATAGCCAACACTGCTATTAAACAAACTATTAAGATATTTTTATAGCCTCTCTTGGCAGTTTTTAACTAAATTGTATTTGTTCTACCTTCAGGTATAATTAGTCATGCCCATAAATGAGGTGAATCTTACGAAAAGGCGGATAGTATTGATTTGCCTTCAGTCTTGCTTGTTGGTGGATCTACTATGTGAAGCATATAGAGATTTGGGGGGTTTCTCTGAACACAACATGGAATGCCTTAATTTTATTTTCTGAGATTTTTGACATTTCTCTTCATTGTCTTGATTTTACTTTATGGTTTTAGCATACTTTTTTTTTTTTTAAGAGCTAAGTATGAGTGAAAGGCATAGGAGATTTGAGGATTTGAGTACTTAATTATTAACCAAAAGTTTGGTATAATATTTAACTTATTAATGTGGACAATTACATAACATCCTTCTTTTCAAAAGGTAGACCTTGTGAACACTAATAGGCAAATGGATTAGATATACATTTTTTCATTGTTAAGATGCTTGAAAACATTGTAGGATTTATTTGAACATAGTGTGTCAAATAAAAGTCTGGCCTTCTGAAACTAAATTCATACATGCTAGTCACCCTTACCTCAGAGCTGTGAAAGAAGACAGTGGTAAGATGGGCTGTGACCCCTACCTGCTACTTGTGAAGGGCATTCCTTTACCTGCCCTGGTTCACTCATTCCCCCCACATTCCACCCCCCCCCACACACACGTATATACTGCAGTATTAGCAAATGCAATGGCTGTGGAAAGGAATGGGGTGTAACCTCTTACACAGCTTATTATGTGCCTCCTAAGTCTTTCTAGTGTAACTCCCCCATTCTCACAGGCCCCAGAGATGGGCCAGTAGGTGTTATACAAGACCTGGCCATAATGCATGCCATTTTCCAGCACCAGGTTAAAGGCCTGGGATCAAGCCAGATTCAGTCCCTTGCCAGATGTGTGCTTGGGTAAACTACCTAACTTCTCAGAGGCTCATTTCCCTGTCTCTGTACCTCAGAGATAGTACTCTCCCATTAAACTTTAATTAAGTGAGATGTGTGTTAATTTAGTGTATGTCATTTAATAAAATGACAGTGTCTGTCTTTGGCAATAAGTAGTATGGACTCAACAATGATCATTATTTTAATTATGATATACTTGTATATGACATGGAAAGTCCTACTTTCTCCCATGGTTTTTGCCACACTTTGAAAAACTTTTAAAGAAACTGTCTCAAAACCTCTTTGGGTAGAGCTAATCTCCCATTCTATCTCTCTGCCTTCTGAAAAGGGATTTTAAAATTGCAGTAAAACACATATAACTTACAATTTATCTTTTAAGCCATTTGAAGTTTAGTACATGCCTGACCTTATGTAACTATCACCATGATCTATTTCCAGAATATTTTAATCATTCTAAAAGGAAACACCATAATTAAGTAGTGTAACTTACTCCCTTAGTACACCAACCCCTGGAACTTATGGACGTGCCCCTGTAGATATTTCCTATAAATAGAAACATACAAAATGGGACCTTTTGTGTGTGGCTTCTTTCATTAAGAATGCTATTTTCAAAGTTGCTCCATGTTAAGTATGTATCTGTAATTTGTTCTCTTTAAATTCCTGAAAAACATCCCTCCATATGGATATATTCTCTTAGTCTTTGGGGATTTCTATAACAATATACAACAGACTGTGTGCCTTATAAACAACAGAAGTTTATTTTTTGCCATTCTGGAGAATGGAAATCCAAGATCAGGGTGCCAGCATGGTTCAGTGAAGTCCCTCTTATGATTGCAGACTTCTCTTTGTGTCTGTAGTTGATGGAAGATGTTTGGGAAATTATTGTGTAACAGCCATGATCCCATTCATGAGGGCTCTTGCCTTAGGAATTGAGCACCTCTCAGGAGGTCCCATCTCTGCCTACCAGTGCTTTGGGTATCAGGATTTCAGCATAAGAATTAAGGTGAACACAAGCATTCAGATCACTGTATATAGCACAGGTAGTTTAGCCATTCATCAGATAAGCCACAGTTGGATTGACTCTTTCTTTGGTCCTCATGAATAGCATTGTTATGGGCATTCTTTTACAAGCTTTTGTTGGAATACCTGCCTTCAACTCTTCAGGTTATATACCTAAGAGTAGAGCTGTTAGGTAAGATAATGATTCTGTGTTTAACTTTTTGAGAAACTACCAAACTCTCTTCCGCTATGACTGTACCATTTTACATTCCTACCAGCAATGCCTGAGGATTTAAATTCTATCCAACACTGACTGTCTGTTTTGGTTGTTTGGTTGTTTGTTTATAACTAGCATAATAGAAATGAAGTGCTTTTTTTGGTTTGAGATGAATTCTTTTTATTTTTGGTTTTACTTAATTCATTTATTTGCTTGATTTCACTTTATACACTGTTCCACTTCCTCCAACCAACTTATTTTACTAAGCATAATTTCCTCTAGGTCCAACGGATGGTTTTTATAATACTACTTCTGTATGTGTCTGGACTCAGATTATCTTACTAATGCTCTTAAGGCTGTCCTATTGGAAAGTTACAGGAAGAACCATATACACCTAATCTCCAGTGGATAAATGTAAAGGATCTTTTCTTTTATAGTCCCTGCTGTAGCTAAGCACCATGGTCCTGTGATCTGTGCTGGAGATAAACTGCTTGCAGACAGCCAGTTGCTAATTATAAATGAGGCTTCCAACCTCTAATAACTTTTCTTTTCTTACTTTCTTTTTTTTTTTTTAATTTTAGGGATTTCCTTGGGGTCATCCAAAATGCTTTTAAAACGTATCGGATAATTGTGGCACCACCTGCCCCACTGAGACATCCATATTCTCTGTCCTACGCTCTTCTGATGACATTTTGACGACTTGGAGGCCGAGTTACCCACTGTTCATGATGAGTGATGAGAAGAGCCTTGGAGTGTCCCAAAAGTTGGTCTCACCTTCAAGGAGCACAAGTAGCTGCTCCTCCAAGCAGGGAAGTCGACAGGTAAAGTTTTACTAATGAAAATTTAAATCGCCAGGATGTGTGGACATTTCCTTGGGAAATCCTTCTGTTTAGGAGCATTTGTTTTCAGTTCTATCTTAATTGTCTGTCATATGTTAATTATATGAAAAGAGTAAACTTTAGATAATTTCAATGTGGTTGGTGCCTGCCAGATGGGAAGCACTGTATTTGGCTTTCCGCATTATTTTATTCAATTCTTGCAACTGTCTTCTAACACAGATATTAATATCCCTATTTTCTATGGAAGGAGACTGAGTCAGACCAGCTGAGTTACTTGTTCAGGGGTACAAAGCCAGTAAATGACAGAGGAAGAAACCAAAGTTCAGTCTGACTCTGGAACCCACATTTTCCTTGATACCTGACTAACCAACAGCAAAGCCAAACAAAAGCAATCACTTTTTCATTAATTATACTATCCTTCTGCCTTCCCTTCCTTCCCTTTACTAAACCTTCCTTCTCTTTACTAAACCTTTCATAGCAGCTTACAACCTGTTTGTGATTTTTTTGTTTCACCTGCTTTACTTTTCTAATGGATGAAGGAACAGAGTGGTCAAAGGAATTTGGTAGGAAGAAAGAAAGAACTGAAACAAAGGACTAAATAATTAATTCCTAAATAGTTGTCAGCTAATTATATGTTGTTTCCTGGCTTCCTTTCTAATAAATCTGTTGGCAGAATTTGCTGGTTTTAGATCAGTGGCATTGAATGCACATTAATCATTATAATTCCTTCACTTTCATTTGAGTAGAAAGAGAGTGGGCGGATGCGTTTATAGCCAAAGTGGTCTCTGAGCATTTTCTGGAACTGCTGTCTGAGTTGGCATGGCCATGGGAAGCTCTGGCCTAACTGTTGGCCCAGAGTCCTTTAGTTCTAGATTTGGGTGCAACAGTCAAGTCACCTCCCACCTCAGGCATGTCCATACAGTTGGGACACACCATCACAAGTCTCTGTTAGCTTGCCACCCCAAAATGCCTCTTCATCTCACTTGAATCTACAGCTCTAAACAAAATACTTTTGCTACAGATCTAACCTTTGGGGAAACCTCCAAGACCTCCCTAAGGGGGTCAGGAGAAAGAGCCTTTTCAGCACTGTCTTCACTTCCTTTCAGGACTTAAGTGACTAAAATTAGTCCTTGGCTAATGCAACTTTACTCCCTGGGAGTTCTAGTTTCATGAGAGTAGCTATGTTCATGTTCTTTGTCAGCTTTCCTGTGGCAGTATTTCTCTCCCTAAGTCAAAATTATGTTTGGGAATAGAGCTGAATCTCTTATCTTTCCTCTACCTTATGTTTAAGGAGTTTATTACTATGTCCTCCTTGGATAGAAGAGACACTAGGTTCATTTAAGCTGCAGGTACTTGTAATACCAATAGGAACTGGAGCAGTGCAGTGAATTTCTACACTGATTACTAGAGAAACTTTTTTTGAGGTATTATTTGAAATTGATTGATTTGGTTTCACAGAGCATTCTCTGAGGTTACATCATAAAGAGTTGAGGGATGTGGTTGATGCCTAAGCTTTTTCTGACAGAGTGGTTGGTCATTTAGTCATTCATTCAACAAAAATTTGAAGCATCAAGCTTCATGATTCTCAGGCAAAATAGCCCTATCCAGCAGGCTCTTGTTGCTAAATATACTCACGATCCTGTGTTTCTAAACACTTCACTGGAAAAGTGCAAGTTAAACACTTAACATTATAAAGTTTGTATAATAAACTTAATTTTGAGGAATGCTAAAATATAACTGATGAAGATAAGCTGTGCAACAACTGACCTGTTTTTAACTCTCCAGTTAAAGTCATTTTCAGATTGTTCTGTTTGTTTCATTGCATCTGATGTTGATTTTATCAACCCTCTTTCTTAATGCTGTTTTTTTGTTGCTGTTGTTTTTGTTTTTTTCTCTCACTTGCTTTGGAATTACGGCATATAGTTTCATCTCAAGTTTGCTTTTTTTACATTCTTTCTTTGGAATCACCCTCTCCTGTATAGGGACTCAATGGTACCTGTTCTTCCTTGAAGATCCTGGTCTGGAGACAGGGCTTAGATATGTAGCCGGGTCTCTGATTCCATGACAATGAGAAACTATCCAAGATCTAGCACCAGGCCATCACAGAGCATGACCCAGGTGCTGATTGTGAGGTCATGTCTGCTTTCTGCACACTACCTGAAGAAGCAGGTTTTCAAAACCCCCTTCCAGTGCATTCTGGGGTTTCCCCTCCATATTCTTTAATTTTCAGCATTGAGTCTAGATCAGGTTCTAGCCCTTTCCCAGAGATATTTTTACTCCCATTAGAACTAGAACTCCTGCACACCTCTGTCAACAGTAGGCTTTGCACTTACATTTTGTGTCTGATTCATGGAGATATTTAAACTTTTTAAATCACACTGACCCCCAAATGCTGCGTATTCATACCTTTGTATATTTTGTTATGTCTAGAGTGGGAATAGTGGTAGGGAGTGGGCATGAGATGTACAAATTTATAATCCTGGCTGAAAGATTTGATCTTCATAACTCATTTTCACTTAAAATTCTCATCTAACATTGTCAGTGACTCTGAGAGTCTCTGTACTCCTGTCACACTCTGACGTTTTTTCAGTTCCTTCCACTGAATTTACCTTTGTCCTTGTTTCTTGAATGGAACTCAGATTTACCCCTCATATCCCAGAACCTACTCACAGGAAATCTTATGGAGCAACACATCTTTTTGCAGATACCCCCTTATTTATATATCTATGCTGAAATAGCTTACTTCCTTAAAGGAGAAAATGTTTGAGATGTTAATTGTGACCTGTGTTTTCACTTTTATATCAGACATAAAACAAAGTTCATAACTCAGGGCCATAAAACCCCCAGAAGAAAGGTTCTATTGTCTGTTAACGTAAATGTGGGAATTCTAAGATTTTTAACATAGTATGCCTCACTTTGCAAGTATAGAAACAATTGATAAATAAAGTCTTATCAAGATGGTTTGGGGAGGAAAGTATGATTAGAACTTGTACTCTCAACTAACTCCAGCCATTAGTTGCTTCTATGACCTTAAACTCTTTTTTTTTTTTAAAGATTCATTTATTTGTGCATACAGAACTGGGGTACAGGCCAGAGGCTCAGGGGTGGCGAGAGCCTTCACCAGAGACAGAGTGGGGAGCAGAACAGGCAGATCAATGAAGTACACTGCTGAGGGGAGCAGCGGGCTGGGCAGGAGAGGTCTGCTGCTCCATGTGGTCACCTCCGCGGCAGGCAGGAATCAAACTCATGCTGAAGTGGCTTTAGCTTTTCAGTGCTGTGCTTTAACCCACTGCTCCACCAGGGAGGGCCGACCTTAAACTCTTAAGGCTCAATTTTCCAGTAAAATTAATTTATATCTTTTCTTATAGACTTAGTGTGAGAACAAAACACTTAATCCAGAGTTCAATTTATAATAGGTATGAATCTTACCTACTACTGGCACCCATTTTTATTATACAATAGGGAGGATAAATTCAAGTTAACATTAACTTGAGCTTCATCTTATTTGTGGAAGGCCTAAATGCTCATAGTGAATAGTTCTACTTTTTGCCTCAGACCTTTTCCAGACAACATGCTTGTACTCCTATCTCATATATATACAAAAGAGTATACACACACATATATGTATATGAAAGTAGTATATATAGTATACTTTCATGGACTTTTAAACTTTGAAACTAAAAGAAACTTTAGTCACAGTAACAAAATGCTTTTAGAGATGGAAATGGTAGAATGTTTAATAATTGGGGTGCATTTGATGTCTTTAATATCTGGCATAATCTATATCTGTAACAAATGGAAAAGGTTGGTAGATTTTTAGACTGTTCTGCTGGGTTTTGTCCTTGCAGAAGTGTGTTTCCCAGCCTGCTCCAGGGCCTGTGGCCAGTACAGTCTACAGATGGTGGTTGCTTAGGGTGCTGTGTTTTGAAGGATTCTATAGTTGAATCCCCGCTCTGTGAGAGAGCACCATGTTACTAAGCACGGGTGGGCTGAGTGGCAACCTGGGTCCCACATTTCACTGCTTTGTGATATTGAGTTGAGACTAAGAGTTCTCTGCTGTACCTTCACATTCTGAAATTGGAGGAACTTCAGATTTTTGAAGTTGCCTCATTCTCCAGTTGTAAAATAAAGTCAAAACTCACCTCCCACTTTCTTTACAGAGATGTTGTGTTTAGTCAGTGATGTTGAAATTTTTTGTAGAAGGTTATTTGTAAAAAAACTGTTATAAAAAACTGTTACAATTATATGTGAGCTCCCTTTTCGATGGTCAGAACCAAAAGGGACTAGTTCAGTGTCATGACATTCCACCTGAAAAATGGATCTCTTTGAAGTACTTCAGATCCAGTGCCTTGACCATACACCTTTCCTCACTATGTGAAATTAGAACATTCCTGTTTGTTATGATTTGATGGGTTATTATTTGAGGTCTGGGAATGCTTTAAAATTTCTTTATAAATCATATAATATTGTTTCCATATCCCAAATCCTACCAAATGGGACGATTCTACATTTAGGTAGTGGGAGAAACCTGAATCTAATTACCTTGCAGAAAACTCCCAACAAAAGGGAATTCTAAGTAAATTTTTGCTTCAGTGTTCTTCCCCACCCCAGGTTTTAATGCAGCTGTACCTTTAATTAGAATGATCTATATGAAACCATCCTACCCTTTTGAATTTTGTGCTTAGAAAAGATATTCATTTTTTGCTTTAATACTTTGTAAAAGATCTTTATAGAAATAGAAGTGCCCTCTGTAGAACATTATCAAGGTACATGGAATTTATGTGAATTACAATACTTTACTATTAAATGGCTGCTGATAAATGAAGTGAAGCCTGAGGATGATCCTTGGTTGTGAAGATCACTGGTGGACACTCAGTGGTTTTCCTGAGTGGTGGATGTGAAACATTGATTGGACTCTATTCATGAGAGAAAGGAACAGAAGAAGAGGTCGATTCTACTAAGTCCCCAGAAAGGACTTGAGA